GAACTCATGGGGAACCATTGAATTTTACTGAAATGATCATTTTAATGATATTATATAGTATTAAATAATCTCACCATTATAGAAATCAGAGTGTACTGCTTTTTCATTCGCAGCAAGATCCATCAGCAGGCCGGTTGCACCCCCAGCCTAGCAAAAGAAGAACAAATTATATCATAAGTAATGAATGTATAGTGTACAGGTTTGGCCCGCCCTAACAGACCTACTGCAGGCTTTACTTGTTTAATATTTTTATTAATTTGTCATAGGACAAGGCTATACGCACAGTGGCTGTGTATATAATGGCCTTAACGGATCTTATATGCACAGCGGCTGTATATAAGGACAGAAACGGATCTTATACGTACAGCGGCTGTGTATATAATGGCCTTAACAGATCTTATACGCACAGCGGCTGTGTATATAATGGACTTCACGGATCTTACACGCACATTGGCTGTGTATATAAGGGACAGAATGGATCTTATACACACAGCAGCTGTGTATATAATGAACTTACATATCTTATACGCACAGCGGCTCATTTTGTTGCTTTCTGTTGTTAAATTTGTTTGATGCAACACATTTTACCTTTTACCACTTTTGTTGTATACACAGCCGCTGTACGTATAGCCAGTCCCTTTGTCATATACGTTACGCACACTTTGTCATATTTTTGTAGTTTGAAAACTGAACAAGAACATTTGTGCGCAGCATTGGCACCGAGCAAAAAATTCCAACAAGAATGGAATCTTATGAAATTTCAAAGATTTAGGCTTTGTCAGTCCTTTACTACTATGGCAAATACAAACTGAATTTTATAACTTTTATTGTACTGGGTAACTCGACAGGTACAGACGGTCCATGGACCATGCATGGCATCAATCATCGCACCTGTCCTTGGTAGTGTAAAATCATCAGAACAATATAACCATGACCTTCTCATTAATTAATAACTTAGGTAAATTTTCCAACATGATCTGCTGCAATCATTTTTATTTTCTGAGCATGCAGACCATTATTAGGCCTAGCCTAGACATGGAGTGTTTACCAATTGCACGCAAGACAGAGCGCCTTAGATTATTAGTTAGGGTCAAGGCAAATAATCGACGAACGCAACTAAAACTAGTAGGCCTACTAGGCCCAGCCAGGCTGGCCTAGCTAAGTTAAGAAAGAATTATTTGTTAATATTATTATCTCTTACTTCTTCAAGATCTACATAAGGTCCAGAACCTTCTGGAAACATTTCATCAACAACGTCTGAATTTGGTTTCATTCTGCGTATTAAAATACGACAATACGAGTGTGAAATAGCTGCAATAACAATGAATGCGATTGTGAGAATAAAATACACAGAAATAGTTATTTGTACGGCTACCGTGTAAACAAACTGTGACTGCATGCACATTCCCCGGTTCAATGGAATACAGTATCAAGGGCGTCAATCCGTGGTTGAAATTGGTGGAGGGAACGAATTCATAGTTACCAACCTGAGAAATTTGAAATGCGTGACTACACCAGTTGAGTGGGAGGGGGGGGGGGCAGGGCCCCTGGGGTCAGTGGCGGAACCCTGGAGGCCCGGGTTCCAGCCACATAATCAACGGTTGGTTGTGATAATAGAACGCACAAGACCGCACGCAACTACTAGATATAAAAATGCATGGGCTGGTTGGTATTGGTATGGAAAGAGACATTTTCACGGTAAATTGATTCTCGAACGAGATAACGAAAGCTCTAATGCTTAGCTACTGCATGACCGTTTTTATATTTTAATAACACCAATTTCTTCTAAAGTTTTAAATACATTTTCCTATGAATTCGTGATAATTCGTTATCACGCATAGATTTGTGCTATTTTAATTTTCAGTTTTGGATGTTGGATATAATGTTAATGACGTTGAAATAATTTTTAAAATCGAACTATAATAAACACAGGGGGTACCGTGTGTCACGGGACACCTAGAATTGTAGGTGTCCCCGGGAAGAATGGTAACCCCTGTATTTTTATTTATGTTTCGATGTAATTTTAATTTTCTTTATTGGAAGTTCGTTATAATGTTAATGACAAGTTATATATGTTGAAATAATGCTTAAAATCGAACGATAATTAGGTAATACACAGGGGGTACCATCTGTCCTGGGACACCAAATATTTTAGCTTAGCTAAAATTGATTTGGTGTCCTCTACTATGCTATAATCACTAAAGCGTGAAAAATATTGAATAAACATGAAATTATGGTTGAAGCGCATGCGCAGTAGTAGGGTACACCTTCTTTCACTGGGACACCTAAAATTAGAACAGCGTGTTTATGTAAAATGCGTGTTTCATCTATCACTTTGAAATGCGGGACCGTCCCGCACGATGCGAGACGGTTGGTAACTATGCGAATTGCAAAATAAGGAAAGTATTGGGCCGACGTAGGCCGAAGCCTTGGCTTAGAGCCAGGGGTCGCCCAGGGGCCCCGGTGGGGTCCAAGCTGGTGTCATAGCCTTTTAAGTCGTATTGATTTCCACACTACACTACAGGAATTCGAAACAGAGTGGGTCCCAGGGAGGGACTTTACAGATGGAGTAGACCACCTCAGCCCCAACTGTGGTTGGGGCTGAGCACCTCATTGGCCGCAACTAAGACTTAAATTTGAATATATATTTTTTTTTCTTTTTGAAAAATTTAGGGAGGGTGGGTCTATAGGCCCACGGCTCCCTTGAATCTGCCACTGAAATACTCATCAAAAAAGTTTTTCAATTTAACCTGTTAATCATTACCATGCCCGCTTTTATACGGTATTTCGTGCAAACATAATGAAAACTTTTCCCCTATTTTGGTCAAAAGCTCAGTCAGGTTAAGTACCATGTTCCAAAATCTTTAACTTTAGTCTTATACACGACGAACGCATTACCGCAGAAAACTCGAAATTCGTTAGGTGCTATTTGCTTAAAGTGCGTGACGTCATTCACAGACCGGGGTGAAAATGGTTCTGAATACCAAATTTTAAAGAAAAAAAATTGTCACTGGGAGCTACACTTGACCGTTCACCCCAAAGTTTAGCGACATATCGTTGCAGAGTTATGTTAGAAGAAGCAGGAAGTACCAACAAACACTCTACATTTTCCTATGCAAAAATAGATGTCAATTTTGAACTATGTACGTTTTATTTGATGATGTGTGGAAATAAATGAATAAATGAAATGAAATTACTTTTGTGCTAGTATATTGCGACTACACTATTGCGAGTGGAAATACTCCGTCTAATTTACGATACTTGAGTCAATAGATAGACCTATCCGTGTCAAAGGCTGTATAATTACAGTATTGTTTAATTATAACGGCTATATAAAATTCAATTGACTAACTATAATTTTTTGAAATCATGAAAAACAGGAATCTGTGTATCAGTGGTGGCGCCAGCGGAGGGGGTGGGGCAGAGGCAGGGCCCCCGTCGGGGAGAGCTGCTCCTCCCCCCCCCCCGCCGGTTAGAAAGCACAATTCGCCGGGGAGAAAAAAATTGATGTCTTTTCTACATAATATTATTATTAGTAGACTGTAAAATCGATTAAATACGGTAAGCCTTTGAAACCCCAAAATGTCAACATTTTTTCCCTGGACCGCTTTCTAAACCATTCTAATTCCACGCCCACTTTGCTTTCGTCAGGGA